GAGAGCGTGCAGCAGTTTGGTGTCTTCATGTTGTCTCAAGTTGATCTCGCGAGGGAAGCTTCTCATTTGAGCCGGTTTATATATAACTTCCGGAGATGGAAAGATGTCTCTTTTCCTAAACCTGTGTATCCGCTTGTACATCCTGCTGTTTTGGTTGAGACATATGAGCACGGAGAAAGCGTGGCACGTTACGTTGATGGCATGGAAGGACATGAATGGATCAAGACTAGATTGGCTCACATCGGGACTCATGCCCTCTTGAAGATGCTCCTGGTATTTATCATCTTTGTATTCTTTTAAGCTTTTCTATTTGACAAGCGTTTCATTGAAGCTATTAATCTCAAGTGAATGATGGTTTCAGGTTGATAACTTTATTCACGCTGACATGCATCCGGGAAACATCCTTGTCCGGAAAAAGGCTTCCCGAGGAGGACTGTTCAAGACGAAGAAGCCACACATCGTTTTCCTTGACGTGGGAATGACTGCAGAGCTCTCAAAGAACGACCGAGAGAACTTACTTGAGTTTTTCAAGGCGGTTGCGCTTAGGGATGGCCGGACTGCTGCTCTGAGAACACTTAAATTATCAAGAAAGCAAAATTGTCCCAATCCAGAAGCTTTTATCGAGGTAGTAATAATAAGATTTAGTGCCTTAGAAATCATTTAAGTAAAAGATCGTTCCTTTTGGCTGATATTTCTTTATATTATGGCAGGAAGTAGAAGAAGCATTCAAATTCTGGGGAACCCCTGAGGGAGATTTAGTACATCCAGCAGATTGCATGCACGAATTACTTGAGAAAGTAAGACGTCATAGAGTTAATGTTGACGGAAATGTATGCACCGTGATGGTCACAACATTAGTTCTCGAGGTGAGCCAAAATCTTTTCTCTCTCGAAATTTTAGTGTAGATTTCATGGAACTTGGTATAGAAATGCATTCCCTAAAGATCATAGGACTGAAAACTAAGCTTATTATAGAAACTGATCTTAAAGATGTTGCCTTTGAAACTGTTTGTAGCTTAGAGCATTGTGACTATAGCCTAGTTTGATCCAGTTCTTGTTTATAACCTTTGGATGGATTAAGTTTGCTTCATCTTTTATAATCGAATTTGGTTATAGGGTTGGCAACGGAAGCTCGATCCAGGATACGATGTGATGCACACGCTGCAAACAATGGTGCTGAAAACCGACTGGGCTAAGTCTCTTTCTTACACGGTGGATGGTCTGATGGCGCCGTAGGAGAAGAAAGGTTTTCCATCTTTTTCGAAATTTTGTTTGTCATCATCATCATAGGAGTCGACAAATTTTTACACATCTTAGATGAGAGAACATAGAAAGAAAGTACATGTTCTTGTGTCCCTCTTGTTTATTTTTCATTCTTTTTTTTCTTCCTTTTGCTTTTTGTTGTTATGGATTTTGGTTCATTCTAACTGCATAGCTTGTATTTTCGCGGTTGGTTTCCTGTATTAACCGCCCGTTTTGTTCTCTGAACCGAAGAACAGTGAACATAAAAACAATGAAAAAGACTTGTCTGAGAATGGCATAGCGAATTTGAATAAAGTGTTTACATCCATGTATCTCTCTGTGTATCTATCTACTGTAATTGTGAATTGTCTTTGTCCCTTTTGGCTTATCTGGTGAAGGATTTTAAGAGAACCGAATCAGAGCAAAATGCCAGACAACACGCTGTTTCATAATACCCTCGGAGTCTAATATAACCTTTATTCACCTAAGAAACTGTATCTGTCTGTAGATTACAACGGTTGTATATGTTCATCATCATCAAATGCAATATTGTACAAATGGCTTCTCATCGTTTCTCCTTTTAATGCCTAAAAAGGTTTTCAAATCCAACTTCCATGTTTGCTATATATCACAGTTTTGAAAACAAACATGAAAGTTTTCTTCTGACATGATTCTGTATATCAGCCGATGATGATACCAACGCCTATGATTTATGAAGGCGCAGAGCTTGGTTTCCGTTTTATATGCAACTCTGTTTGTGTGTTGTTAGGCTTCAGATGACATTGTTGATACCATGACTGGAGGCGAATGCAGCTCAAGAAAAGCTTTTCCTTCGGGATCGCCGCCTATGCATAGTGTGTCTCCTCGACCATGCCAGATACCGTCATGAACATTGTTCATCTCCAGCGTTTTCGATTCCTGCATCACATCACAAGCAAGTTGAACCACAAGGACATACTAATAACAGCTTGTTTTCAAGGGAACAATGATCTGTGAACAACACACACCTGAGTTAATGTACAAAATGGACAGATGAGATGGTGGATACAATCGTCAAAGAAACTATCAGCGCCCTGTGAACGAAGTAAGACAATTTCAAGGTTTAACATGATGCAGGACAGAAGACAAATAAGTTCTTAACACACTCACAGGAAAAGCAACAGAAAGAAGGAGAATGTGCTTACTCTAATGTTAAACTTCTTTCTTATCTGCATACGGAAGAAAGCCAAGTAGGATACAATCAAAAGCACGAAAGCAATAGCCAGGTAGAGAAAGCAATGCCTCTTGGTTACAGCAAAAGCTGCAATGTTGAATAGGGGACCGATGATAAGAATCATATGAACAGTACCCTGACACAGAACATTTGGTCAAAACATAGAAGAAAGTCAGCATCTTTCGGTGATTGCAACCTGAGATCAATCGTATAAATCAAAAATGCTAAAAGGGGGTTTTGATAGAATCTTATACCTGAAGAAAGCAAGAACCAAAACCACTCCTTGTCATGTTTTTCCCGAATCTGTAGCATGGGCAGCTGAAAAATCAAGATAAAAAAACACTATTTTACAATAGCCATTGCTTCATAATTACTCTAATTACAGTCCTATCATGCACCAAATGTTGGATATAGCCAGATTTAATCAGAATTGATGTTCTCCTCTCTAACAATCTGAGACCTTTGACCAAAATTTGACTTGCCCATTTCTAGACTAACTTATCAAACACATGAATAAAGGAGATGACAGAAGTAATAATAATTAATTTAAAAACCCAGACTTTTTCGCCGGAAAATCATTCCTGTAAATTCCAGTTTCTCAGGGGAAATGAATTCGATGACTAAATTGGGTTTTCGAATGAAATGAGAAGAAGAAAAAGAAAACTTACCAAGCGGATTCGATGCAGAGATGACGATCCTCTAAGCAATCCATAACATCGCCTTCCCAAAGCCGTAAAACGCCGCCGCCGTATTCATCATCATCGCCATCTTCTCTCTCCGAGCTCTCCAGTTTCCTCCATTTCCCCTGAGTCTGAAGCGCCACCGTCGAGCAAAGCAGATCGAAATCCAACACAGAAATTCCTTCCAATTCCGCTCGCATCTCCCTCTCTTCCACTGCGCCGCCGCCGTCGTTTCCAATGTCGACGATTACGGCGGCTCCTCCACTCTCTAAATTGTCCAAATCCGCCATTGATGATAAAAGAGAACTTGTTAGGGTTTTTCTCTCTTCTTAATTCCTCTTTTCTCTGTTTAATACTATCTATCTTCTCCAAAAGGATCAGCCTTTTTTGTTGAAACGCCTCTTATTTTTTAACGCTTATTGTTTTTTCTCTTATGCGTTGGTGATTTGGCGGGTAATTAATTATTCATAAATCCCAGCTAAAGTAGTCATTATTAAAGGTACAGCTGTTGCCACGTGGATATTGCGGATAGTGGAGAGTGATTGATGTTTATTCTTATCCTATCTGCTCAACTATACGAATTCCTTAAATTTAGATTTCATAATTGCAGAAAGGTAACGGAAAAACAAATTGAACCTTTGTCATCACATGTAACGCTAAGATGTATGTGTAAATCAGTAAATCAAACACCGAATTAATAACGTTACTAAAGAAAGAGAACTCCCGGCTAATATAGGGCTGGCGCTATATACTATTGTGTACATCGCATCTCAAATTCTATATAGGGCTGGTAAGTTGTTACTGATTAGCAATTATGAGTCTAAATGTTACTGTGTTAATATATAGGGCTGGTAAGTTGTTACTGATTAGCAATTATGAGTCTATATGTTACTGTGTTAATATATAGGGCTGGTAAGTTGTTATCGCATCTCATTTGAAGACGTTTTGTAAAAATCACTTTAACAAGAAAAAACAACCAAAAATCATAAACTTATATATATGGACTTAACAGTGGCTTTTGTTTGATGTCTTGTTATTGTAATTTGTGTTGTCCTTGTCCTTGTTTGAAGACGTCTTGTTTAAATTAGTAACGAACGAAAATCATTAATTTGTGGACTTAACCAAGAAATGGGTTTTGTTTGATGTCTTCTTTACTTTGTATTGTATTGTGTGTTATGATCTGTTATGTTCGACAAAGATGTTTTGTTTTCCTGCAACAAATTTGGGCTCAACTCATGCAAAAGGTCAAAAGAAAATTAAAATAGGATAGAAATCCTTAATAGCAGTTGGTGAGCAATCAACCTATAAGGAGAATATTTACATTGAAGCAGCGAAGAAAGACTTGACACTTGTTGGGGACGGAAGAGAATTAACAATTCTCACTGGAAATTTAAGCTACAAAGCCGGTTTTTCCATCAAGAACTCCTCGGTAATATGTCATGCTTTGTTGTTCTTGAATGTTACATTTTTTCTGAAATAGAAATTATTTATTCCAACGGTGTTATAGTTTATTTCTATTGACAAGTTTGATAATACTACAGGTGTGGCTTTTGTTTGATCTCTTGTTCTTGAACTCTGTGATAAAACGGGACACTCAATCGTGACAAAATACCGATCTCTACCGTCACGTACAAACGTCAAGTTTTTTCTTGTCGATCCAATGTAAATCGTGTCTTTGTATATTCATTTCTTCACATATTTATGATATAATTTGAGCAAATATTAAGAAAAGTCTGAGTAAAGTTTAAGCAATGTTTGAACAAAATGGCATAGACCTACTTATTATTAATTGATATTGAGTTAAAATCCAACATGGCATGATGTTAATAATAATAGGTCTATGCCTTTCAGAAAGGGAACAAATATGGAGAACAGTAAATATGGAAAAAAATTCTAATGTTACAGCTAATGAAAAGGATTTGAGTATTTGACCAACGAAAAAAGCTAGTGTAAAATGAATTGTTCAGTCAATTCAAAAGTTTATCTCCTTCACAGTACTAAAATGATTTAATAGAAATTTTGTTTTGGAAACTAATTTAATGGAAAAGTTAATGCACTTCTGACTTTACCGGAAGCAAAACCGGTCCAATCTCTATAAATTATCGAACCTTTGGTTCTCTTCACCATACACTTAGACACAAAACCAACAAACAAATACAATCTTAGTGAGAGCATAATCAAAACTCAAAAGCAACAATGGCGGACGAGGTGATTCTTCTTGATTACTGGCCGAGTATGTTCGGAATGAGAACAAGGATTGCTCTAGAGGAGAAAAACATCAAATTCGATTACAGAGACCAAGACCTCTTCAATAAAGACTCGTTTCTCCTCGAGATGAACTCGGTTCACAAGAAATTCCCGGTTCTCATCCACAATGGTAAACCGGTCTGTGAATCTCTCATCCAGATCGAGTACATCGACGAGACTTGGCCTGGAAAAAACCAACTCCTTCCTTCTGATCCTTACCAAAGAGCTCAGGCCAGGTTTTGGGGAAACTTCATCGACAACAAGGTAAAACGATCAAAGCTTTTTATAGGGACAAGAAAATCTGTTGATAAACAATGAATGTGGTTTCAGGTGCATGGTCCAACGAGGTTGATCTGGGGAGCGAAAGGCGAAGAGCAAGAGGCCGGGAAGAAGGAGTTTATTGAGGTGCTCAAGAAGCTAGAGTCCGAGCTTGGAGAGAAGACTTACTTCGGAGGCGAGACGTTCGGGTACGTGGATATTGCTCTCATCGGATTCTACAGCTGGTTTCAAGCGTTTGAGAAGTTTGGGAGTTTCAGCATCGAACCAGAGTGTCCAAAACTGATCGCGTGGGCTAAAAGGTGCGTCAAGAGAGAGAGTGTGGCTAAGTCTCTTCCTGCTTCCGAGAAGATCACTGAGTTCGTCCCTGAGCTAAAGAAAAGAATTGGAATCGAGTAAAAAAAAAACTCTGTTTCGGCTCTGTTTCTGGTTTTCTCCTCTTTCATTTTCTGTTCTGTTTCGGCTCTGTTTCAGTGTTAAGTCTTATCATAATAATACAAATATTCTGCGAGATGCTTCGTTTATAATAATAAAATAGCGTTACAAGATACAAATGATAATAGTGAAAATCATTTAACTGAGATTTACTACTACCTCAATAGCCGTTAGATCTTGAACTCATTCAATCGAACGGTTCTCAATAATATACAAATCTACAAAATAGAAAGTACAATAAAGACAAAGAAAGAGTCCACTCTCTACTCTCTTCTCCACCGTCACGCCAAAAGCTCTTTCCTTTTTACGAAGAAAAACACGATCGCCGAGAAAAAACATGACTTCCCCGGGGAAATCGCCGAGATCCGACCGGAAATCGCCGACGGTTGTCACCGTGCAGCCGTCTTCTCCCAGATTCCCGATCGGCACACCGACATCTGGAGCTCAGCGCAAGATCGGGATCGCAGTCGATCTGAGCGACGAGAGTGCCTACGCAGTCCAATGGGCCGTTCAGAACTACCTCCGATCAGGAGACGCCGTCGTACTCCTCCACGTTCAGCCGACGAGCGTCCTCTACGGCGCCGACTGGGGAGCCATTGACCTGTCGCCGCAGTGGGACCCGGATAACGAGGAGTCTCAGAGGAAGCTGGAGGACGATTTCGACATTTTCACCAACAAGAAGGCGAGCGACGTTTCTCAACCGTTGGTGGAGGCGGAGATTCCGTTTAAGATTCACATCGTCAAGGATCACGATATGAAGGAGAGGCTGTGTTTGGAGGTGGAGAGGTTAGGGCTGAGCACTTTGGTCATGGGAAGCAGAGGATTCGGCGCTACGAAGCGGAGCAGCAAAGGGAGATTGGGGAGCGTCAGCGATTACTCTGTTCACCACTGTGCTTGTCCGGTGGTGGTTGTTAGGTTTCCGGATGAAAAGGACGGAGAAGATGAGACGTCAGGGGAAAATGGAGGTGAGAGTCTGGTGGATAGTGATAAACTTCATACAGTGCCTGAGGTCGCTGAAGAAGAAGGAGACAAGGATGAGTACCATGATGCTTCAGATAAGCAGCAGCAGAAGCAAGTTTGACTTCCATTGCAGGTCACTTTCCATTTACTTAGATCAAAGATTGAGCCTTTATCCTATCTTGCAATCTTTAAGTTTTTCATAGAGATAGTGAGACTTGCTGAAGATTGATCTATTTGTTGTTAGACTTTCCCTGAAATGGATATGTAAAGTTACTTTTTTTTGGCAAGGTGGACTAAATCAAATGATGACTGATCTTGAGTCTGCTTCCATGTTGCAGAAGGAGACCTTCCTAAGGAGATATAGAAGGGAAAGGAAGCGTTTCTGCGCCCTTGGTTTGTTTTCTTTGGCGTGCTTTTTCATCGTCTTGTGTTCTGGGTTTGGGGTTTTATAGATCTTCGTTGTAAGTATGGTCTTGTTTCTTGGGGTTTTTTGTTTTAAACTGTGTGGAAGTTCAGAGATGAATGGATTCAGTGTCTTTGTTTGTGTCTTTTAAAAAGCAAATGAAAAAGGATTCCTATGTTTCACCGAATGATATATGATCTTGTGTCTCTGCAGTTGAATTCAGCTGTAATCTTTGAAATTTGAGCTAACTTGCCCAATATACATTTCCTGCTCTTTAGTCCAATCATTGAAGATACATATAATGATATTCGTGTATATTGCTTCACCAAAATAATTTTGTGCTGAAAAGGGAATCTTGTTGTGTACTTAAATGAATCCAATAAAAGTCAAAACTGTTCTTATCCAGTATATAAATGAGCAAGCTTCCTCTCAGATTTGACACGTACTTGATATTCACAATATGAAGTGTCATCCATAAACGTACGCAGTAATGACTATTTTAGTTCAATGTCATGTTCAAAGTCACATGAATCCAGTTCTTAAGTTGCATCCTTTAAGAAATATCCGGAACGTGGCGTGACTGATGATCAATGTTCACTGCTTTCACAAAAGACAGAGAAGAACTTTACAGTTAATGTTGTTATTAGTTCATGTGTGAGCCACTTGGCTTTTAATACTACACACCGTTTATACGTTTCATCACATTCAACCTTTTCCTCAGAAACAGAAATGAAGGTCTTCTTCGTCTTAGTCATCATCTTTTTCTCCCTCATTCAATCTTGTATCTCCTCCGTTGATACCATCATGAGAAGACAGTCCCTGAGAGACGGTGATGTCATACTCTCTCAAGGGAAGAGATTTGCGTTTGGATTCTTCAGCCTTGGGGACTCAAAGCTCCGGTATGTCGGAATCTGGTATGCTCAAATCTCTGAGCAGACTATTGTATGGGTTGCAAACAGAGACCGTCCCGTTAATGACACATCCGGTCTGATAAAGTTCAGCAGCAGAGGAGATCTCTGTGTCCACGCATCAGTCAACGGAACAGTGCCTCTCTGGTCGACTAATGTCTCTGATAGTATCTTGGAACCAACTCTAGTTGCAACACTCTCTGACTTAGGGAACCTTGTTCTGCTTGATTCAGTAACAGGAAGAACTTTCTGGGAGAGCTTTGATCATCCTACAGACACTTTCCTTCCGTTTATGAGATTAGGTTTCACACGAAAAGACGGTTTGGATCGCTTTCTAACGTCATGGAGATCTCCTGAAGACCCTGGTTCCGGGAACCGAACATTTCGATTGGAACGTAAAGGGTTTCCGCAGATGGTTCTGTACAAAGGCTTGACCCGGTGGTGGCGTTCCGGGTCGTGGACGGGTCAGAGGTGGAGCGGTGTCCCTGGAATGACAAGAGAGTACATCTTCAACAACTCGTTTGTGAATAACCAGGACGAAGTAACGTTCACTTACGGTGTGACGGATGCTTCAGTCATATCAAGAATGATAGTGAACGCGAGAGGACACATACAGAGGTTCACATGGATTGCGAGGGACGAGAGGTGGAACGAGTTCTGGTCAGTTCCTAAAGAGGAATGCGACTACTACGCACATTGCGGCGTTAACGGCCACTGCGATCCCACGAGCTCAGAGACGTTTGAGTGCACGTGCCTACCTGGTTTTGAGCCAAAGATTCTCCGGCATTGGTTCTTGAGGGACTATTCACGCGGGTGTGCAAAGAAAAACGGAGCTTCGATATGCAGTGTGAAAGAAGGGTTTGTGAAGTTGAAGCGAGCGAAGATTCCTGACACGTCAGATGCATGTGTGGATATGGACATATCATTGAAGGATTGCAAACAGAGGTGCTTGAGGAACTGCTCGTGTGTTGCTTACGCAAGCGCTTACCACGAGAGGAAAGGAGGAGCAACAGGGTGCTTGACGTGGTATGGCGATTTGAAAGATACGAGGACATACTTGAATTCTGGACAAGACTTGTACATACGTGTAGATGCGGAAGAATTAGGTACATATTCTTCGAGTTCTTGTTGATTTCCAAAACATGCTTCAGATGTCTTAGGGTTTTGAAAGTACTTAGGTTAAGTTTCGATTTTCTTGCTTGTTTCAGCGAGGTGGAACAGAAATGGCTTATCAGGGAAGAGGAGAGTCGTTCTGATACTAATCAGTTTGATAGCAGCCGTAATGCTACTAATGGGCATTTTGTTCTGTTTTGTAAGGAAGCGTCGGAGTAAGTAAATCTCAAGTTCATAGGTTTCTTGCTTAGCAAACAACTAGCTATCTAATACATGCTCACTTGCAGAGTCGAACAGGCTTAGAAGATCTTCAACAACCTTTTCCCTTGGTTCTTTTTATTTTGAAGATTCATTCAAATTTGATGAAGACGAGGACAGAAACCGGGAGTTACCTCTCTTTGAGCTTAACACGATCGCTGCAGCGACAAGTAACTTCTCTTTCCAGAACAAGCTTGGAGCAGGTGGGTTCGGACCGGTTTATAAGGTAAGGAAGAAGCAAAAAACATCTTTACGTATGCCTAAAACCTTTATCAATACTCCTCAAAATGTAGGGTATGTTTTCATTTAGGGCGTGTTACAAAATGGAATGGAGATAGCGGTGAAGAGACTGTCGAGAAACTCAGGCCAAGGAATGGAAGAGTTCAAGAACGAGGTCAGGTTGATATCAAAGTTGCAGCATCGGAATCTAGTGAGGATCTTAGGGTGTTGCGTTGAGTTGGAAGAGAAGATGTTGATATATGAGTATTTACCAAACAAGAGCCTAGACTATTTCATATTCCGTAAGGTCAACGTTTCCAACGCAGTTTCAACGGGGAAGATCAATGACTTTGCATTTGATTCTCTTCTTTTTTTTTTTTTTCTCTTAGGTGAGGAGCATAGAGCTGAGTTGGATTGGCCAAAACGGATGGGGATAATCCGAGGGATTGCTCGAGGAATATTGTATCTTCATCAAGATTCAAGACTGAGGATCATCCACAGAGACCTCAAGGCCAGCAATGTACTTCTTGACAATGATATGACTCCTAAGATTGCAGATTTTGGCTTGGCGAGAATCTTTGGGGGCAACCAAATCGAAGGAAGCACCAACAGAGTTGTTGGAACATAGTGAGTTATTGTTATTCTTTCTCAATCTCCAAAAAACTCTCAAATACTTCATTTTGAAAGAAAGAAAAAAGTGTTTCAATCTCATTGTCACAGCGGATATATGTCACCGGAGTATGCAATGGATGGGCAATTCTCCATAAAGTCCGACGTCTACAGCTTCGGAATATTGATCTTAGAGATCATAACTGGTCATAAGAACAGTACCATCTACGATGAATCTTCAAATTTAGTTGGACATGTAAGTAAAAAACTGCAGTTTTTCTTTTCACACAAGTTTGGGACTGGTAAAAACAGAGGAACAAGAAAATATTTTGTTGATTTGGTATTGTAGATTTGGGGTCTATGGGGAAAAGGTGAAGCAAAAGAGATCATAGACACGTTAATGGACGCAGACACTTATGACGTGAGCCAAGTGATGAAATGCGTACACATTGGGTTGCTTTGCGTGCAAGAAAGCGCTTCGGACAGACCAGACATGTCCTCTGTTGTGTTCATGTTGAGACATAACGCCGTTGATCTTCCATCACCGAAGCATCCTGCTTTTACGGTGGGAAGGAACAGAAACGTCACAAATGGCGTCAGCTCGCGTAATTGGCCCAGTGGAGAAACCGGTAGTTCTTTTAATGATGTTACTCTCACCAATGTTGAAGGTCGTTAACAAAATTCCAAGTGATATCCTCCTCTTCTTTATGAAAAGCAGAACTAGTATATAGATAGGTTAGGTATCATCACTTTGTAACCATACTTGTTTATATATAAAAAAAATAAGGAATCTGTGTTCCAAGAACAGATAGATTTGGAACATTTTAAACCGAACCAGTAATTTTGGTTTTCACTTAACCGACTTTTCGATGGGTGAACCAGGATTGCAACGAGTTTAGGGGTAAAATGGTGAATAAGGATTATGCACTCCGAAATTTATAATCTTTCTCCTTCAAGTGGTAAGCAAGGTTAAACTATTATATTCTTAATGGCAAAATGATACGTTCTTGTATGATTGTATCGCTCCGATTCGAACACGGAAGGGTAAAAAAAGAAAAAAAGAAGATGATGACTGGAAGCTAGAATGCCCAAAGTGGTGATAAAAGTAGCCATCAGCTTCTTTACTCATAGATAAAAGTCTCCTAAAATATGGACTACAAGCGAGTTCCACAACTAGCATACGGATATAACAAGCCTAATAAGTCAGTCATTCTTATTACAGGACCACAACAAACATACTGTTGTTATCTAGATACTTACCAAAGAGAACTAAGCTCTTCTTTTCTTGAAGCGTGGGACAATGAAGTCGACAAGGAGACCCGTTGGCTCTATCACCTGAGGCTCTTCTCCATCCTTGGGAAGTGAGGTAAGAACACGCTCTAGAGACACTTTGATGAACTTAGACTTCTTCTTGTAGCAGATCCTCAATTCCGCAACCTTCTTCCCATATCCAGTGATCATCACATCCCTGAGTCCAACGTAGGTCGATCCAGGACCTGCCGGGCCATCGTAGACTCCCTCTCCCTGCCACACAATCAAACAACTGAACAAGATTAGAAATCAAAACATTTTTATCTGAAAATTTCAAAAACTAAAGAGAGAGCCACTCTACTTCATCAACGAGATCGATCTCCGGACTGAACACGTGCAGTTTAGCTCCCACCGGCTGCTTCTCCAACAACGCAACTCCTCCTTCCCATGTCTCAGCCTCAAGCACTTTTCCTTTCATGGGGACACGAGGAATGAGAGAAGCGAATGGAGGGACCTTGGAGACACATCCCACATGTCCCCAATGCCCTTTTCTCGGTAATCCATCTCTGAATGCACACTCGAGGCAGTCCTTCACAGTTAGCACGGGGCGTTCTTGATCCAATTCTCCCTCCTGGTTTGGAATGGCAATGTCCCTCAGGTACTCAACCAGGTCATTCATCGTGATCCCGCGTCCTTGTTCCCACTCTCCCTGCCCGGATTCCTTCTTGGGCCCAGCGTTGTCCACCAAGTACTGTGCTGAGTACTCAGTGTACTCTCTGTCCACCTTGAAGACCACCCGAGCAGAGCTGATTAGATCAACCGCTAACATTGCTGCTCTTTGAGATGCATCTGCAAGACAGTTCAAACACTAATGCATGTGTGTAGTCAATTCCTTTTATTCTTTCAACTGATCAGTCAAACTAAATCAAAGTTTTTCTTTCTTCTTCTAATGACACAAAGAAAGTCATTTACATATTTCTAGAGTGATGATAAGTTACCGTAATCTTCTTGGGCATTCAATGCTCGTAGGCAATTTGGATGACACCGTGAGATGGGGGCATGAAAAGGCAGATCCATCTTCAATCACTTATCCCTGCACAAATACGAAATTTGCGGTCAACAATGTTTCATAACGAATTCTGAGTGTAAAGCGAATCAAAAGGAACCATTTTTTTTCAGAAACCCATTTTTCCTTAAGAGGCATTACCCAAAGAAAAGAAAAGCAAGAGAGTGAGTATCTAGATCTAGAGTGTTGCTTCCTAATTAGGTCAGACGTACATCAGAATCAAGCAGAAGAAGACATAAGATGCAAAATCCGAGAGAAACCAAGCAAAGACAAAACAAAACAAGACCTCTCACTAGCTCAAGTTTCGTTAAATACAGAGAAAAATCGACGAGCGAGAAGACAGAGAAGAAGGTGATAGATGCCTGAACAGATAATGACCAACCCATAGTCGGATTCGGCAAAAATCGACCCAGAAAAAAAAAAAGTAAAACGTAGCTAAAAGTTCATCATTTTGTTCACTAATTGCAAGGAAATGCCAAATCAGAATCATAACCCCTAGAAAAACGAAAGCAAGCTAAACGAATCGACTTAGAAACAAAATCAGAAAGTTACCGGAGACGGAGAAACTGCAACGGAGTGGTGGTGACAGTGAGGTCGCAAAATCGCCTTTCGCGTAGAAACTGAGAGAAACTTCCCGATTGTAAAAATCCTCACCGAAGCTCTCTTTTCAATTAGCCTCCTAACGACGTCGGTTTGAGATTTTCCTTAGCACGGCACCGTATTGTGACTGCCAAGTGTCAAATGTTAAAAATAAGATAAAAACGAGGGACATACATTTAATAATCTGACAATTTTCCTTTTACGCTACAAAAATATAACATTGTGCAATTTCAATCTTGAACTTTTCCATCTAATAATCCACACCACGAAATAACACCATCTGTGAAGATAGAATCATCTAAATTATAAATATCACCATTGCCAACTTTCCATGCTTGCACCGTACGTAACTACGTATAACCAGATTGCCATAATAGTGATAACATACAATCTAATCCAAAAATCCATTGTGATATCAATTTCGTTTGAAAGCTCTGGATCAATCAAACTCGTATATATTGATAAATCTTTTACCATGAGATAAAAAAATTACTCATTAACACTGATGAAATTTCACAGACCAAATTAAGAATTTTACTTGTTTTTTTTTTTGACAAGTAAAAAGTGTTTTACTTACCTTAATCTCATTTCTTTTGGTTTCACCCACTTATAGTTGTGGACCTTGTGGTATCGGTCTTTGATTTTAATCAACGTAGTTCATCAAAGTAAGAGATTACATTTCCTTTGCTTGAATGAGAGTTTGTAAAATAGGGTGATAAAACATCACATTTGATAAAAAAAAAAAAATGTTTGTCCAATTACAACATGCATGATCCTTCTTTCTAGAACGAATGTGTATATTTCCATCCAACAAGTAGAGGATCGCTTTTGTTAGAGGAGAAAAATATTCATAAGTTTAGCATCTTTCTTGTTATTTGCTTATGATCAAGAATCTTTGGCTTGTTACAAGAATTCATCGAAATTTTTAAAAGGGTTCAGACTATTAGTATAAATGCATGGATCAACGTGCTTGATATTATTACAAACATTCGTCACCATGATTAGAATAAAACTACATAGTCACAAACACCCTTTATACCCTGTGCCATGGGTTCGCAGTTGCAATGGTTGCTATCGAGAAGGTGGCTACACCAAAGACGGTTATCGGTGCTATGAGTGTAACCTGTTTTTCCACAAAGAATGTGCAGAGCCATCTTTAGTGATCAACCACCCCTCTCATCCTCAACACCCTCTCCACTTCTCCATCGTGGAGAATGAATCCCACCCTAGATTTTGTAAGTTGTGTGGAGCAACATTGTATCATATGTTTTACCATTGTCCTTTATGTGAATTCGTTATCGATACGGATTGTGCCAAAAATCCACCGCCAGATGCTATTGAATATCCCAAAGCCCATGAACACTCGCTTTTCCTCCTGAAAAACTATCATAACGGCACATGTTACTTTTGTGAAAAGATATATTGTTCTAAGTATCTTTACAAATGTTCTCAATGCCAATTGAGATTTCACTATGCATGTGTTCACCTTCCTCTAGAGATAACTCATCCGTGTCAGCCTAAGCACCCAGTTAAGTACCTTACAAGCGAAGAACATAATTTCTCTGATGGGAAATGTTGTATATGTGATAAAACGTTAGGGAGGAGATTTTATCATTGTTCAATATGTAAATTTAGTATGGATGTTGATTGTGTAAAGGATCCACCAACGCTTTACAATATTATTTTCCAAAGCTCATGAACATCAACTTAGTCTTATGCCAAGGATCATCTCTTTTAATTGTGATGCTTGTGGAATGAAGGGTGATAGAAGTCCTTATTCTTGCCAAGAATGTTATTTCATGGTCCATCAAAGCTGCATCGACTTACCGGAAATCATCAACGTGAATCGTCACGAGCATCGTCTCTCTAAGCGTTCTCATCTTAGTCATGGGAGTTGGGAATGCGGAGTTTGCCACAAAAATATCGATTGGTCCTATGTGTAGAGAAACCAGCACCGATAGTGCTTAGCACTAGCCCAAGACCGTAATACCCGAGAAACCCGAAAGAAACAATAAACCCTCTAAGTATGAAGAGAAATATGGAAGAACACAAGAGAATACTTGAAAGACTTTTAAGAAGAACAAGAGAGAACTTAGCTTTAGAACACTCTTTATTAACTTGTTCAATTTCTTGTACATTTACAAATGAGGGGGTGAGGAGGTATTTATAGCCTCCCAAATCTACTTACAAAGTTTCTACACTCTTCTATAACCTCCTTAGGTCCTAGATATTTCTTCTTCTTCTTCTACAACTTTCTACAAATTATCTTACAAGTTTATCCTAATCTCTAGAACTCTCTAACATAATATCTAGATTTCTTGTCTTACAAGAACTAGAAAGTTCTACATAAATATCTAGAGAGTTATCTAGTAGAATTCTCTAGAAAATTTGAGGAAGTGATGACCTCTTATGATGTTTCTAGAGAGTTCTAGAACTTGGGCCTAATTTTGGGTTTAATAATAATTTGTTTATGGACCCAAAATTAAACCTTGATCAAAATCAAGTTTAATTTCAATACTCCCCCTTAAACTTGATTTTATCAACCATCCCGAGTTTCGAGCGAAGTAACTCGAACTGACCTTTTGGTAGTGACTTGGTGAAGATATCTGCAACATTATCCTCACTTCGAACCTCCAAAGCTTCAATTGTTCCATCAAGCACCTTCTCCCGTATGAAGTGATGTTCCAACTCAATATGCTTCGTCCTTGCATGGAACACCGGATTGTTAGCCAGCTTGATAGCACTTTGGTTATCTCCATATATGGCAACCGGCTTGTTGATTGGCTCAAACAAATCTTCAAGAAGCCTTCGAAGCCAAATACACTCTTGGGCTGCGAGCGTCGAAGCTTTATACTCCGCTTCAGTGGTAGACAGCGACACCGTTGCTTGTTTCTTGCTGCACCATGAAACGCTTGTGTCTCCACACAAGAACACAAAGCCCGAAGTTGATTTTCGACCATCTAGATCTCCACCAAAGTCAGCATCCGTGAAGCCATAGAGAGAGACCTTGGCATTGTACTTGTACATTAGACCCATGCCAAGAGTTGTCTTCACATACTTCAAGATCTTCTTTGCCGCTTCTAGATGTGGCTTCCTTGGTGACTGCATAAACCGACTTACAAGACCAACCGCGAAGGAAATGTCAGGTCTTGTAATGGTTAAGTATAGAAGACTTCCCACAAGAGAACGATAAGGCCGAGGATCGGGTAGCAAGGATCCTTCATCGCGCTTCAGCTTGATGTTCGCATCCATCGGAGTAGTACGTGTCTTTCCTTCGTGTACCCCGAACTTCTCTACAATCCTTCTTGCGTAGCTATGTTGGCCGATGAATATTCCATCCTTCATCCTTTCAACCTCCAAACCAAGAAAGTTGTTCAGCTCACCCAACATCTTCATCTCAAACCTTATCGACATATCCTCTTGCAGACGAGCAATTTCCGCTTCATCATTCCCGGTAATTATCAAGTCATCCACATAAAGAAGGACTACCACGTGGACTCCTCCATTCTTCTTGAAGAACAGACTCGGATCAGAGTTCGACGGAGAGTAACCGCAAAACTGAAGAAACTGAGCAAGCTTTCCATACCAGGCCCTTGGAGCTTGTTTTAACCCATACAAAGCCTTCTTTAGCTTGCAAACATAATCGGGATGCTCTTGTGATATGTAACCAAGTGGTTGCTCCATATAGATTTCTTTATCAAGTTCTCCGTATAGAAAAGCGTTCTTCACATCTAACTGCCATAACTTCCAGCCAAAGCTTGCAGCTAAAGATAAGAGTGTACGTACCGTAGTCATCTTCGCCACTGGACTGAAAGTCTCATCATAGTCTTCTCCATACTTCTGAGAAAATCCCCGAGCAACCAATCTTGCTTTGTGTCTATCAATGTTTCCATCCCTCTTACGCTTGATCCGGTACACCCATTTGCATGAGACGGGTTGGACATCCTTGGGTTTTGGAACCAAATCCCAAGTTTCATTTTTCTTTAGAGCATCCATCTCCTCCTTCATTGCGGTCTCCCACTCTTTAACTCCTTTTGCTTCATCATAAGATGATGGTTCTTCTTCATCAAAAGGAGATGCAAAGTAGCATGAGTAAGTAGTAACAAACCTTTCATCTCTGTACCGAGCAGGTTTAACGATGTCCCGTTTTGGTCGTTGATTAGCCAAGGAACCATGATCTTCCTCCTCCTCTTCCTCTTGGTTAGTGCTCCCCCTTTCACCTTGCATCTCTGGTTCAGAAATTCCACCATCACTTGGTATCTGAGCAGCTGGTTCATCGTCTTTAAGTGAGCCCGCACCATCTTGCTCAACCAAGACTTGAGGAGATCCGTAATATGAAGACACTTCATCAAAGACAACATCACGAGATACAGTGTATCTGTGTGTCTCTGGATCCATACACCTCCACCCC